CAAGTCTAAGGTGGATCACCTAGCTCACTTAAGGCAAGTCCTGGAGGTTCTGAAGGAAAATCAGTTGTACATCAACTTGAAGAAGTGTACATTCTGTACATCTAAGCTATTGTTTTTAGGCTTTGTGGTAGGGGAAGATGGTCTGCATGTAGATGAAGAGAAGACAAAAGCAATTCGAGATTGGCCAACACCAAAGTCAGTTTCTGAAGTAAGGAGTTTTCCTGGGTTAGCAACTTTCCACAGACGATTCATCAGACATTTTAGTACTATCGTGGCACCTCTCACAGAATGTTTGAAGAAAGGAAGGTTCAGTTGGGGAGAGGAACAAGATAAGAGCTTCGCCTTCATTAAAGAAAAGTTGTGCACAACTCCATTATTAGCCTTGCTAAGTTTCGAGAAGATCTTTGAAGTGGAGTGTGACGTTAGTGGTATTGGTATTGGGGCTGTCCTTTCTCAAGAGAAGAGACCCGTGGCTTTCTTTTCAAAAAAGTTAAGTGATGCCAGGCAGAAGTGGAGTATCTATGAGCAAGAATTCTATGCAGTTGTTAGGGCTTTAAAGCAATGAAAACACTACCAGATACAGAATGAGTTTGTGTTGTTCACTGATCACCAAGCCTTGAAATTCATTCATAGTGAGAAATACATCAGTAGGATGCATGCTCGGCGGGTGACTTTTCTTCAGAAATTTCCTTTTGTAATTAAGCATAAATCTGGAAGTACCAATAGAGTTGCAGATGCACTGAGCAGGAGAGCTTCCTTATCGATCACATTATCATAGGAAATTGTTGGGTTTGAGTGCTTGAAAGGCAACCAGCTTTGTATTCCTGTTTCATCTTTGCGTGAAAAATTGATTCGAGATCTACATGGTAGAGGTCTAAGTGGACACTTTGGGAGTGGCAAGACAATAACCATTTTGGAGGCTAGGTATTATTGGCCACAGTTGAAGCAGGATGTTGGAATTATAGTAAAAAAGTGTTATACTTGTCAGGTGTCAAAGGGTCAAGTACAGAATACTGAGTTGTACATGCCACTTCCTGTCCCTCAGGGCATATGGTAAGATCTGGCCATGGACTTTATTTTGGGATTACCTCGTACTCAACAGGGGATAGATTCTGTTTTTGTGGTAGTTGACAGGTTTTTCAAAATGGTACAACTCATAGCTTGTCGGAACACTTCAGATACGTCACATATTGTCAAACTGTTTTTCAGGGACATTGTTAGATTACATGGAGTTCCCAAGTCTATCACATCAGACCGGTATACAAAATTTTTGGGGCACTTTTGGATTACCTTATGGAAGTTGTTTGGAACCAATTTGAATCGAAGAAGCACTGTCCATCCTCAAACTGATGGACAGACCGAGGTTACTAACCGTACTCTTGGAAACATGGTTCGAAGAGTTTGTGGAGATAAACCTAAACAGTAGGATCTTGCACTACCTCAAGTGGAGTTTGCGCACAAAAGTGCAGTTCATACTGCTACAGGCAAGTCTCCGTTTGCTATTGTGTATACAGAGGTGCCTTACCATGTGGTGGATTTGGTGAAATTGTCTAAAGGTGATAATAAAAGTGTTGCTACTGAACATGGGGCAGAGGGAGTGATAGCAGTTCGTGATGAGGTAAAACAGAAGTTAGAGAGAACTAATACAAAGTTTAAGGCAGCAGCAGATTCACATAGACGGGATAAACAATTTCAGGAATGGGACTTGGTGATGGTTTTTTTGAGAAAAGAGAGATTTCCCGTTGATACTTACAATAAGCTGAAACCAAGAAAGTATGGGCCTTTCAAAGTGCTTAAATGGATTAACAACACTGTCTACATTATTGATTTGTCAGAGTCTATGAGTATTTCTCGTACATTCAATGTGGCAGATTTGTATGAGTTCCATAAAGATGATAAGCCTTTGTATCCAATTTATAACTCGGGGTCGAGTTCTTCGAAGGTGGAAGGGACT